GGCTGAGGTGCTGAGCTTTGTGGCTGTATTGCATCTTGGTGAATTGATTTGATTCTAGCTAAATATCCACATCTAGTAGATAAGCAATTGCTGGTGACTGAGGGAGGTTTTATTTTAAATTCATTATCTGAGCTTTGTGGCTAATAAAGTTAAACAGAATACATTTACTTCTCTTTCCTATTAGGACTCACCCATGCTCTGCAGCGGCTTGTGGGCCATGCTTTATCCACACCCTGTGTATCCAGCCCTCAGTACAAGGGGAAATTGTTCTCTCCATTATGGCTTTATATTGCCAATCTGATACAATATTTAAACAGATTATCTCAATGCTCTGTTTGTCCCAAACCAATTTTTGCTTCGGCCTATAAAGTGAATCTTCCTTTCAGCGGCTTCTGTGGTACAGGATGTAGTTACATGCATCAACTAGTTCAAAAGACCCATCTACAGCATGGATTTAAAGCTGAATAAACCCACAAAACCCTTAGCTAGGACTATAAATGTCACTGTATTTTTATATATGTCTGTATTTCTTTTTTTAAAAGAATAGGATTACTGCATGCAGCTATAACTGAAAGTCCTTTGATAATTCAGTGGGTATTTTAAACCTAGCAATGATACACTTTCATAAAACCACACATCCCTGTTTTCTGAAGGATGCTAATAAGATGGTTAGCTTTGCTTTCATGCTCGATATGTTTATGAGTGCTCTTGCCCATTTAGTTGCATCTCTGAATTTAATGCCCCACTCTGATTTCATAGTAATTGTCAGGAGTCTGTCTTTCTTTTTGCGTGTCCCCGCTCACTGTCTGGAAAATGCAGTCTCCTCATTGCTGACCCCATCAGTCTGTCTCCTCATGGTACTTGTAAAGAAAACCCTCTCCACCAAGGACAAAGATGTTTTTAAACAAGCCAATCTGATATAAAACATAGTTTGCTTAACCCAGAGGTGACCAAGAAGCGGTTGCTCGCTGACTGTGCCCAGCCTTGAGTTGCTGTGTATGGCTGCCCTTCTCCAAAGGCTGCACGCGCTGCCACGCTGTGCTGTTCATTATCTGAACAGCATCTGCAGTTCCCTTTTCTCTGTTACAGATGCCGCAGTCTGCTTAGTTTTGTGCAAATGACACACTGCCCTTATACTCCTGTGAGTCGTCTCTGCAGCTCCTCAGCCAGCTGACGTCTCCACCGTCCTGCTCGAGACTTGTCCTGCTCCTCACCCTGGACAGCCCAGTGAGCGAGTACCGCTGGCCTGGCTGCCATGCAGGCATGCTGGGCATCCTCCCTCCCCACTGCAGGTTAAGTCCCAGCACCGAGACATTTGTTTGTTGCCCTGCTTCAAAGGCCTGCTCCTCTCCTGTTGCTTCTGAGGATCCTCTTTGCACCAAATTTTCCCATTTCATGGCTTTCTACCTGACATCTCCCATCAATAACAAGGGGTTGCTTTCTGACTGTCATCGGCCCAAATTGATTTCAGCGTTGTGTTTGTGAGCAGACAAGTGCTCGTCCATCAGTGTGTGTGCAGTAAGGGTTGCTTGTCCCACATAGTGGTGGCATGCAGCAGGGAATGTGGCTGAGTTATTTTTTCCAGTCTACTAAGCTGTCAGGAAATGCTTTCTGTCTTTCTAGCCAGTGTGTTTGTAAGACCAATTAAAAAAAAAAAAAAAAAAAGAAAATGTTAGATACCCATCTGTGCATGGCTTTCCTTAATCTTAAATCTTTACTAACTAGAGGGAGAATGCTGGGTGCAAGTTTTAAATAACATTTACAAAATTGTGACAATCATAGTAACCAATACTATTATTTGGCCCTTGATTTACATTGTGTATACAGACCATGTAACCTATGCCGGCAGCTATTGAAATACAGTCCACTTCTCTGTGTTGGCTTGCTTGTCTTCCAGCCTTTTAAATCAGCTTACTTTATACCTTAGAGAATACTTTTATTTCTATATATATCCTCTCTTCTATTGGCTACCCCAGATAATCCTGTGATCAGCCATGCAGCAGTGTCACTTGAGTAGAATATGGAACGATGCTGATCGTTTTCTCGTAGGCTGTCATACTAGCCCAGAAATAGCATCTGTCTACAATGGGAGCTCTATTAACATTTACAACTGTTCTTCTTCCCGACCCCTGAGAATTGCTCCGTGGTAGATAAGCAATACTTTGTAATACATTTCTTTGCGCTCAGTATTTTGGAGTTGAATTCTGAAATATAAAGGCTCCTAATCCTGATCTGCTCTGGGATACACTGCTCTGCTCTTAGCAAGTGGTGCTGTGAATAGGATTAGCATTTCAACAGCCGCTTTTTTTAACTGTGAGCAATAAACTAAAATAATAGGGCCTGAATCAGAGCTCTCTGAAGTCGGCAGTAGTACTTTGGCTGGTGTGGGCTGGCTTTGGGTCAGGCCCATAAGAATTGGAAATTCAGTGTTTCCCTGGAAAGGAGGGAGACTGTGTGAATTTTAGAGTTCCTGCTCCTGTGGGGTCTGTCCACACCGAGCTGAAATCCATGGATTTACAAGCCAACAAACACAACTGTAAATTTGACTGCAGGTGAAAAGGAAACGTGTGGTGCTAGTCACACAGTTAAAACTTGTGTTTTTTAATGATGTCAAGGGCACTTAGGACACGCATGTAAACAAGTAAGCATTAGAGGTATTTCTGTCACTGTTCCTTTTTAATTCCCTCAGATGTGTGGAAGTACAGACTGTCATCGGGGCAGAACATGGGCTGGGCACCGCGGCAGGGAGATGAGCTGTTGGGTTGGGAGGGCTCGCAGCGACTGGCCTCACTGAACACAGCCCTTCAAATTCATTAGCTACGGGCCCATGGGCGAGAGCCAGCTGTGAGCATCTGGCCCTCAGGGCTCAGCACGTGATGTTACAGGCCTGTACGCTTCGACTACAAGCAGTTTGGGGATTTACTGTGCCTGCACCGTGCAGGCGTGGCACCCTCTACCAAGCAGAACCTGTTCCTGATTAACAGTTCTTGAGCGGGGCCTGGATTCCCAGTTTTTTACCCACCTGTTCATGAAGTAAGTGATACCCTGGGCCCACTTACTGGGCTGCAAGACTGCAGTTTTGCTGTTCCTTGCATGAGCTCTGAACTTCAGCTTTCCACAGTGCTTTTTAAAAGCACAGCAACAGTGGCAATCCTGCAACTTTCTACAGATATCCTACAGATATCTACAGTTTCCTACAGAAACCCAGTTTTACTAAGTTCCTTCTCCTCTTCCTGTTTCTTACACGTTGTGCATGTATTTTGAGTTGTGTCTGGTAATTAAATGGAAAACTGGGAAATTCCTTGCAAATCAAAAATGCTTAGAGGGGTGGACGGAATCTCACGTGCATTTGAATCTCACTATGTTTTTATCCTGTGTTATTGAAAGCTTTGGCATCACAACCTGTAGCGCCGTGTCCTTTCCAAAACACTCCACACCTCGGAGCAGTGTGATGCGTGGTCAAAAGCAGTGGTTTCCAAATGGCTGAGGTGGGGCTCTCTGGGAGTCGGCAGAAGGGCACTGCTACAGACGGGGGGCACATTGCAGCAGTGACAGTTGTACCGCGTCCTGCAGCTCTTTATCTTGAGGACAGGTTTCTGATTGCCGTGATCTGGAGGGGATCAGGAGCAACCTTCACGGCTCCAA